GGACATGAATAGGAAGTTCCTGTGCACATTACATCCACAACATTTCTAATTGTAATGTAATTCTGAGTTTCAGGAAGGCTGGTCAGATGTGAAAATGTAAAGGGAACTGATCCTGATGATAACGATAAGGACAACTAACTAACAAAGGGGTGTTCAGTGTTTTGCTCGTGTTCTCTTAGACAACAGCCTGATAATAAAATGGAACAAAAGAAACATGATGAATGAGAGTGGAGCTCTGAAGAGGAAATAAAACACAGTTGCAAACAAAGATAGTGAAATAATAGGGATCCTTTAAACTATTTGGCTCTTTCCCGCAGAACCTAAAAGACACAAAATTCACATAGGCCAAAAAGGCTGATTGCTAAACATGTGTGTATTTTCAAACAAAGTGTAGCTTAGAGTCAGGAAAAGGGTAAGGACTGGATAACTGGATGACCGAATGGAACATCAATTGGGTCAATTCAATATGATCCTTCAGTGTTCATAAAACTTCAAAGACTTATTTAAATAGTAAGTCCTATCATGTATTTCAAATTAAAAATAATCTTGGATGTAAGCATTTCCCTGTTCTCAGATTTTGCAAAAGGAAATTTGTCACCTAGCAGTAGAACACAAAATGACAAGTAGAAAAGCTCAACAGGTGAATCTGCATTTTTTGACATCAGTTTAGATGAAATAGAAATAATAAAAAGTATCAACGCAATTAAGGCCAAGGCTGTGTGTCTTCCAGTGCAAATAGATGCAAGTGCTTTTGTTTCCTTTTACAAAAATACTGACAATTTAGAAACCTCTTGAGCTTTCTTTCTCCATTGTAATGAAAGGCATAAGAAGCAACAACAAAAATCCCATTTTACCATATTTGCACTGCTGAGTTTAAACATGGCTTAATTAAAAAATGAAAATTACTGCATTTCTGATGCATCTCTGAGCCACTGTGCAATGCACTCATTCCCACAGTACTCCAAAGATGCCTTCCCTAAAACCCCTAGGGAAGCATCTCACAGGCCTGCAGGACCTCAGCTGTGCTACCACTTCACCACTTTACCACATTGCTGCTCCCAAATCCTCTTCTTGTGAATGAGTTAACGTATGTGATGCTGTTCCTCTCTGAGTATGCCGTGAGCACAGCCCTTCTTCCCCAAGAGACCCAGGAGCATTAAACCTGTGAGATCGTATGGCTTTTCAACAGCATGAGGATGGACAATTCCTGTGCATCCCCACCTGCCCACCTCAAACAGCAATCAGTAGTTTAAAGCACAACACAAATGAAGGGAATTTTGAAGAGTCGAGCGTGACACAGCCTCACAGATGGCAAGAAAGATCTGCTGAAGCAGAGTGAGCAAGTGGCTGATCTGGCACAGAGATGCAGTCAACGTTGGTGTGCCAGCATCGGCCCTTATTGATCAATATATAAACTCAAATATAACTATGCATATGTCTGCTTACACCTGACTTTTACATATTTGTGTAAGATGTAAATTAAGTGGATACAAACTTGAAAAAAAAAAAGTAACTCTAGCTCCTCCAGCCTGGCAGGGGGGCTATAAAAATCTGACCTTTTTGTCAGTGGAGAGTAACTGCAGATATAAGTTCTAGTTATTTGGGCAGTTGGGTTTTATTCACCTTTTTTTTTTTCCTTTTTTTAGCTATGGGAGGATTATCTAGAGGTTTCTCAGCACAGATCCCCCCCTTCCTTATCCTAAAGAAATCATTTCCCATATTCACACGAAAGGTTCCACTCATAACACACAGAGTAACAGAGTAAAGTTACCTTCCTAAGTGAGAAGTGTGATCAACATATGCTAGAAAACCTTTCAGAACCATGTGTAAAAATAGCTGAAGTTGTGTTGTTTGTATTAGCACTCTGAACTATTCCCAAGCTGAGACCAGATCTTTGTATTTGTTCAGGCATAAGGGGAAGTGTTAATGTTTACTGAGTCAGAACACTGTTTCTTAAAGAGCTTAATTAACTTTATTGTTCTTGGCCCATGGTGTCTCAAGACAAGTCACAGAACATACCCAGCCACCAGAAAAAGGCAGATAAGTACAACCCCATTTTCTGTGTTTTTCAAGTAACCAACTGTGACAAGGGGAAGCATTGGTCTGAAAATGACCCTATTCTATTAACAGTTTTTCTCACCAAACTCTCACTATAAAAGAAGAATGTGGAAGCGGAAATAATTGAATTGCACATTGAAAGAGATATATTTCATATGAATTAGAGATGTTTATCTTCATTAAAATAACCAGACAGAGAACTGCTGTGCTTCATTCAGTTAAAAAGACTTGGTATTCATGTTTATTTTCCATGTAGTAATCAGAACCCCTGGGATATGATAACTTAGCTGGAGCTGTTCATCTTGAAATTTTCACTTGGAATCCAGCCAAGTTTGCAATAATTAAAAGTTGTTATCTGATGGGGAGAAAATAGTACCTTCTTTTTCCCTCCAATTTTTAAATGACTTTGGTTAGAGTGTAAGAAAAGCAACTCTCAGATAGGCAGGGTGTCTGTCCAGTTTAGTCTCTGACACTGGATGCTGAGAAGACTGGGATGTATCTGCCTTATCTATGTCTGATAGTTTTTAAATCTTCTCTATGGCAACCTGTGGCAACGAGTTTCTAAATTTAATTAATGAGTTTCTTATACCTTAAAGAATGCTTAGTACATTGGTGAAGTGTAACTTCAATTTCTACAAGCCATGCTTACTCCCTCACATATAAAACCTTCACCTTACTTTTTTTATAATCCATGTAATTTACTTTTTACTAACTTCACCATGTGTGAGCAGCACCCCTTGAACTCAGGATGTTGGTGCCTTTTCCATTTTTGTAGGAATACTGGATCTGAATACCTTAGAGTCATGGATACAAAACTATTCCTCCACAGTCATATGTGGAAATACCTCCTTCAAACTGCTCAGGATTAAGTCTAGAATGGTTTTTCTCATTGTAGATCATCTGACTAGTTGGGCCAAGAACTGAAACAATCTAAAACAGTTGTCTATGAATAATAGCGTGCTCTGAACTCTTCCTAATCCCCCTGCAGACAGCTGAAGTCTCTCCTTGCACTTATCTGACCCTTGCAGCCTTTAATCTGAGGGTGTTTTGCAGCCGTTGTCACCACCCTTGTGAGTCACTAGAAGCACAGCCTCGATCATCAGGTGGATTTATCAGGCTTGACTTTACCCGTTAAACAGGTAAGTATTTTATCAGAGGTTGCCAGGCAGACTTCCACACTTGACATCATCAGAGAAGGACAGGCACGTGCACAGTGTTGCTGGTTTCCCCTGCTTTGCGCCCTGCCTTGGGATGGGGTGTGCTGTTCTCTAAATAGGGCAGGCTGACCTCTGAGTGCAGGACAACTGTTTTTTAACTCTTGGCTAAGAAATTTCAACCCAAATTGATTTTACAGCACATATTCGTTCTGTTACCATTGTGAAACTCTGCTTTCTTTTAACAAACACTACTGCTCCTCTAATGGTGTAGTCTTCTCTGTTATTCAGATATATTTGAACTCCACTGTATTACAGTATCACACTGATTATCTTCTAGCCTACTTAGTAGGCATCTACAAGATGTTTGGATTTTGTCATCTTGTCTCAGGCACGCAGAGTGTTTTCAGCTTTGCCCTTTCAATAATGAGTCACTCCAACTGGCATGCTCTCCTACATCTGTCACCTTGTCCTCAATCCTCCATTTTAAAGCACTCCTACAGTCTTTTTTTTTTTTTTTACCCTGAATGCTAGCAGACCCCTTCCCCTCTACACTGGAAGCTGGAGTTTTCACACATTCTACATTTGTCTATATTATATTTACCGGAATTCTGGTTTATGGAAACACAGACTCTTAAACACAATACTTGAGAAGTCTGGGAAACAGAAATCTTAACTGATAAATAGGAATGTGAGTAATGTCCTCATGGGACACTTAATCATAGCAGTCCAGTTCAACAAGAGAGCAGAGAGCTGTGGTGAGTCTGTCCATCTTGCTGGACTTCATTGATACAGAACAGTTTGGTTAGAAGGAACTACAAAAGTACAAAAAAGTTTGTGCATAATTTATTAAAAATGGAGATGTATGTTTTGAAATAAACAAACAAAATTCAAGTATTTCTCAGCCTGTACACAGTTATATTACAGAAATAAAGAAACATGCACATTTGCACACACAAAGACAAACCTTTTGAAATAAATGATTTATTGAAAATTATATCCTTGGTTCCAGTGCTCACTGAGGTGTGCTGTTAAGCCAAGCTAATTTCTTGTGTCTGCCTCAGAAAGGCATTACCCCAGCTGTCACTGTGGTTTGCATGCATAGCACAGAGGAGGACACAAACCCCATGTCCACCTCCTCCAGGGAGTGCTCCCAGAAAGCTTACGCTGCCACTGCTTTCTGGCCCTGAGTTCCATTACAGATTTGTCCCGCTACTTGGCCTGTGATAGGGAATCCCATGCTCATGTAAAGCCCATAAAAATGATGAAGCCTAGTGCTGCTCAGGCCTCTGGTCCTTCTCCACTGTCAGCCTTACATACGTACCTAAGGGTGTGCTGGGGAGGCTGAAGCTGATGCCATTCATAAATCCAAGCTTTTGCAGAGTATTCACAATGCTTCCTCTCATTCCACTACACTAAGGGCATCTTGAACGCAAGGGAGGATTAAGCCTGGTCAAGCCAGTACTTTCCAGAGACATTACCTCTCATTTCACCCCTTACGCACCACTCCCTCCCCACCCCCTCCAAAAATGGAATTCTCCAGAAGATTAAACATGTTAGCATTTATGACTAAGAGCAAGCAACTGAAAACTCCATGTGGAACTTCCTATATGTGTTGTGCATGCAGAAACCCTTGGGTATTTTACACAGAAATGTTGATTATAATTATAGTACTAGAGCATCTCTACTGCCAAAGCGTCTGCCTTGCACCTGCTCTCCTACCATGGAAAGAGAGCAATGAAAGAGAACAGAAGCTGCAGCAGGAAAGGGAAGAAAAATAGTAACCTCTTTAGAAAAATACCATCAGTTTTTCTTCAAACAGTTTTTTTTTCTTGGCTTCAGTGTGGGAAAAAACAAGCATGGCTCTTCCACTATTTCCTTGCTCATGATATAAGCAAACTCATGAAGGGTATCTCAGATCTACAGTTCTTTGAAGAACTGCAGTGAAAGGATGAATCCTCAGAAGACAATATTTTCTCTTTGTCTGGTTGAGCAGACACAGGTCTTGCAGTGTCAAGACAGGCTTTCTTTCCCTTCCTCCAAACGGAACATGTTTATTGGCACTGCGACATCAGCTGAGAGTAGATATCACTCCCTTGCAGTTCAAAGTAAAGTCACTGCAGGTTTCAGAGGAAGCCAGGGCAGGATTTAAAACTGTATTTCTTTTAGAGGTCACTGAATCCCTTCTACATTTCCAGTGTGCTGCCAGTCAACATAAGGTTTTTTTTCTGATAAAAGCAAAAAATGCGTCGGTAAATGAAGCCTTCAGCTATCCTGCAGTTAGTACATAGCCCTGGTTTTCACATATAATGAAAATTATATATGAATACATATATTAATATATATACTAATATATGTACGCATTCAAAGAAAAATACTTTATCTGAACAAGGTACTTAAGAATGTATATATTTATACATTTATTAACAGAACATATTTATATATTTACTAACAGAACATTCACTTCATATTTGTGAAAATTATGCCTAGCACTCCATATTCATGTTCTCTGAATCCTTTCTAAGTCGGTAAATAAATACACAAACAAACCCAGCATTAAATATACATGCTTCAATGTATTTAAAATATTCATTTTAGACAGAAAGGCACTTGGTGCACACGTCAAACAATTTTTTATTTTGGAGTATTTGCCAAATGCTAATGTCACAGACAATATGAAAGATCTCTTGTGGTGCTGAGATAATGAACTCCCAAGGTAATAATTTCCATTATTAGCTTTCCATTTTAGCTGGAAAACACTCTTTAAATTCTTTATGCTTTACATTTCTTCTTAATAGCAGCACCATTTAAAAAAAATATATATTTTTCAAAATTTGTATTTAGGAAAATACATCTGACAAGGTTTAGATTTGCTATTTGTCACTTTCCAACTAGGTCATATATATTTGGGTAAGAATTACTTTAATATGTATTTCATGTATATATATATATAAATTCCATATATATAGTCATGGTATACAGATATAAGTATATATATTCTGGGATGGTAAGAATATCTATATTCTTCTATATAATACATGTTTTATATAAAATATATTTTCACAATATAAATATAAATATAGCTAGAGGTAAATGTAAATTCTGTGAAGGTAAGAAAATACAAACAGCAAGAATTTACAATGTCTATTATAGCGACAAAGTATTTCAATAACAACAACAAAAAACTATATAGTATGGACAGTTATTTTGGAGAAAGAACCAGCTGAAGAAGATGGGAGTTAAATGTAATGGAAAAATTCAGACTATTTTTTTTTTTTCCACTCATGCTGCAGTAATGCCTGGAGGCAAGAGAGATACTTGGCTGACTAACAAAATGCTAATTATTCAGAGACTTCTGTTTCACAGAGTAAAGCCACATCAGTAACTTGGAAAGTGGGATATGTGGAATTCTTAAAGCGTACTAATGAAAAAATCTGTCAGGAGAAAATTTAAAAGATAAGACAGGAAAAAAATTTAATAATGTGATATCACACTTATTTGCCATCCTGTCTTTCATATTCTGAATTTCATATTGTGACTGCAGGAATGCAATGTGTGATCATGAGAATGTGGCTATAGGTTAAAGAGGAAATAAATAAATAAAATTTTAAGCAGAAGAAGGTGACTCCAATATCGAGGATGCAGCTTTAAAAACATTGTGATAGTGTTCAAGTTCTTTAAAAATGACAAGTTCATTCCTATCAGACAAAATTTGCTATCATCTACTTTGAAATTTTTACCTGTGTACCATACCTGAGCATCCTCATCAAATCCAAACATTGTACCTCATAGTTTTCCACTCAATATAAAATATATTGAATATTTTGATATATATATATTTTGATAGTGATATCTTGAATATGAAGTTTGGGCCTATAAAGACATGCACAAAAGCTCTTGAGGGAAATTAAAAAGGGGAGGATCTTAGGCAAAATCTCCAGATAAAATATACCAGAGTTGCATCTGTCTCACACTCCCAGACAACCGTGTGTCAAAACATTATTAGGACTGCGATAGAGAGCACCAGAAAGTTAGAAAAGTGCCAGAACTTTGGTTGTCTGTGCAACTTAAATTCAGTTTGCACCTGTATACACATTATGGCAGTCAATGGCTTCACCATCTTCTGTTTTTCGCAAGTCCCTTCCCTCTCCCAGTGCCCAGAATAGTTGATGAGAATGTATTGAATGGTTTTTCAAGATATCAGTTGTTCTCTGCACAGCCTGCACCCTCTGACGATTTCTTGCATAGCAAAAACTTGCAGACAGTATTTCAAAATGCTGCTCTGATGGCAGGGGGGTTGGACCTAAGTGATCTTTAAGGTCCCTTCTATCCCAAACCATTCTATGATTCCAAGATTCTGCAGTGCCAGTAACCATGGTGGCTGAAGGTATTAACTAACAGACTTCGTGGAGCCTCTAGGGACTACTGCTACCATTTTATAGCTAGGTAACTAATATCAAAAAGGCTCTTTAAACCCGGTTGGCCAGTTTGACATAATGAGGATCTCATTTTTCCATAGCTTTGAATTATATAGTACTGCATTTAAGGCACGATCCTCATTAATTTCAAGTGCAGTCAGGAGCCTCATATCTAGAAGGTGATGGGACTTTGCCAGCAGGTTTCTCAGGCTTTGCCAGAGTAGGGTCCCCAGAGGTCCATATAGGCTTTGGGAAGGTATACACTGGGGCTACAACTCCTATACCTGTTTTTTCCAACTCCATTCCTCTTTCCCTTTCCCTCAAATCTACTAATATTTTAGTCATGTATCTTCCCAGTTTGGCTTTTCATCTCACTTCTTATTAATCAGTCCCAAATTCTAACCTCCTCTCTTCAGACTACCTCTGGGACCGAGACATCCAGGCCCAATATCCTTCACTAGGAAGAACCTGTCTCAAGCCTTCTGACTGTTTTCCCAGTCTTTCCTCCATTTGTAGGTACTTGGAGCTCTTCCTGTCCTCAGTCCTTCACCTGTTTTCTTACCCTGTTTAACATTATTTCTCTCTCCCAGTCTCACCTTGCATCCATCTTTCCCTCTTCACAGAACCTATTGCTATCTGACATCACCAATTTACTCTTTTCCAGTCCAAATTGTCCTTCCCATGCTCAGTGCTTTCTTTTGCCAGCTCCTCTGTCAGTCACTCTTCCTTTGCTTCTGCAAACTTACTCCTTGGTGACTTGTCCTACTCCTTCCCTCTTCCTGTTCTCCACTGCCTACTGGGGATTTGGTCCAGTCTGCTTGCTCAAACATGGTCTGCTCTTTCTACACCCTGAAGCTGCCCTTCTCCCTATCTACTGGAGACTACTCCTCCCTCAAAAAAGGATCAGAACTTTTTTATGTTGCAATATGATGTTTCTACCATTTCTCCCCCATCCCTGAAAGTGTTCAAGGCCAGGTTGGATGGGCCCTGAGCAAACTGATATAGTAAGTGGCATCACTGCCTATGGCAGGGGGGTTGAAACTAGATATTTAAGGTCCCTTTCAACCCAAACCATTCTATGATCCTTGAAAATGGCTCAATGATTTGAGCTGTCTTATTTTGATTGTACTTTCCCCCCAAAACTAATTCTCCTACCACAAGAAAATTTAGCCCAAGTAAAACTTGGAAAATTATAAGGAATGGAAAATGTGATTTTTAAGGGCACTGATAAGCAGCCTTAAAAATAAGCGACACCAATATTTACCCTTGGTACCTCTGCCATTTATCTGCATCTTCATTTAAACAGGTAGACTAGCAGTCTCTTCCAGCCTATTCCTCGTGCTCAGTGCTACCACTAAGGAACCCTGAGATGTGAGCATGCCATGAAGAAGTGCTGAAATTCTGACATGATGGAATTGGCAGCCTTGTAACATCAGTCACAAGAAGCTGGGGGAGAACTGCAGGCTTAGGGGGTCTCTGTCAGCGCTTATCTCTGGGCACCAGTGTGAGAGCTCTGACATCCCTGCAGTGCAGTACAAGACACTGTGTGTACTCCTCAGGGCTGGCACTGCTTATCTTTAGGACTTACATCACCTTTCTCAGGTGCTTGTTTGTCGGAGGTACAGCTCTGTTTCTTGCCATTCATTCTTTCCTGACAGAGGTTAAATACTGCATTATATGCATCACCAGATTAGTGGCATGTATCCTTTTGGAAAGCTGATGCTGTGCTGATAGCTTGGAGAGACAAGGGAAATTGAAAAACAACCACTCTGCTTCCATTACTATCTTTGTAGCCAGGAAAGCAATAAATCTGAAGTAACAGTTAATTGAATGGAACATTGTGAGAGGACAAATGACATTGCTAGGGACTGTATTACCAGAGGAGTAAGATCAGGACATTCCAGTGATTATCTTAATTTCTTCATCTCTTCTGTCAATAGCTCTCGACTTCATTTCATTTGGCTGCCTCTCACTTACTTCCAGAGGCAAGAGGACAAATCCTGCCAGTGCCACACTGCAGCACTGTGTGCTCCAACTGCAGTAAACACTGTGACATTATGCTGCATTATGCTGAGGCAGCCAGACACTTCTGCTGAGTGCTGACATCAGTGATGTATCAGTGTTTCACTGACTCCCATTCTATTAAAAGAGCTTAACAAGATTGGTGTTCAGCACTGATGTCTCTGTTTATCTGCATGGAATTTAAAGTGCCCATAACTCAATAGCAAGTGATACTCTAATTTTTTTGAAAGATCCCTGCAACTGGTGGCTGATTCCATTACACATTCTCAGTCCCTTCACGTGTTGCTTTCCAGTGTGGATCTCTTACCATTTGCCAGCCTGGGCGTGGAGTGCAATGGGGGAGGGAAATGAGGAAGCCCAAGCTGCTGTGTGCAGTCACACCTCGCCACATGGACGTGTGGAGGTCTCAAGTAGCTGTGTGTGTGCCACAAACACAAACCCGTTGCTCAACTCCCAGCAGATACCAACGATCACCTGACCACAAAGTTTATAACAGCATCAGGACTGGGGTAAATCTAGGAAAGCTGGAGGTTCTCAGTCTTGTTGACAGAGCAGAGTGTAAGAGCTGTGTTCTTTCAAGTGCGGCCATTCACTCCTGAATCCTCCAGCGCTGTTACCAGGAGCTAGGCTGCCAATAGCAAAGAGTGGATGAAAAGATGTGCTTTTCTGGAACTGCATCCCTCCTTTTCACAAAGTTTTCCTTCTAGTATTTCAATTTAACAGAGGAAGGGGAAGAATAATTTTCTCTATAAAATGAAAGAAGGATGTTTAATGCTATTACAGCCTAGTCAAAATCCGGAGAAATGAGGTAAAGTGAAATGGATGTGTCCATGAGAGAGCATTCCATCTTCAGGCCTCCAAACATACCCCTCTGTAGGAACCACACGGCACTTGGGCTTAAGTGGAATAACACTCTTTGAATATGTGCTACATTTTTGTGTATAAATAGGACGGAAAAAATACACAACAGCAATAGGATGAGCACAGTCTTTATTAGCCAAGCAATAGTTTTATAGCCATTGGTATCATTGGTAATGTGAATAGACCAATTTGCTGATTCTGTTCCTTTATTTTTATTTTTTTTAATAAGAAAAGATAATTTGTATTTATTTTATGTCTTCAGATCTAGTTTGGGTCTCATATTATTTACTAACAAAAAAAAATCATTTTGTGGAAATGTTAAATGAAACCGAGTTTCAGGTTTCATTCATTAGATCTATTGAAAATACTGTATCAAGACCAAATAATGGTAAGGATAAAAGTTGGCGAAGATATCTGTGTTGATCTTTGTTCTTTACAGACTGATGTTTTACTTTCAAATTATAGCAGAAAAAAATGCCATACATGCCACAGCACAACTAAGAAATGCTTGAGGCTTCATAACACACCATTGCAAAGTTTTCAGTAAAGTGTTCGTAATTGCACACAGATGAACATCTACCAAAGCTATGCACATTAAGTTCCCGTGCAAAATTTGCTTTTAGTGACAAAAAAATGATCCATTTATGAGCTAACAGACCAAACATGTAAATAAATGACATATGCATGCGCGGCCAATATCAATATGCAAATATCAGGCTTAGACTTATTTTCCAAAAACTGGTCCTGAAGTGTTGCCAAAAGTGAAAGCATCAAGATGAAGCTAGGCTATAACCTAGTAAAGATCAAATTTTTTCAGTTAATCAGTTTTCTCAGTTCAGTCTCAGTAAGCAGAGAAGCAGTTCCACGTTTGACCTTGCTTTTCTCCACTAAAACGAAGTCCTAAAAAGATCAAGCCAATCCTCTCCCCATATCAACTCATGTAATAATTTTCATACAATAATTTCATGCAATAATTTCCCTGCTTTATTAGTGAGAGCTTGCTCTGCTTTCAGAAAGGTGAATATAAAGCCATCTGAGTGTCCTCTGTCCAGATATTCCCATGTCCAAGTGTGATTAGCACTGTCTTGTCAAATTTAGCTCTAAGCCATTTGTGAACACCTTCTTTGTTTATAGTAGCACACTGAAATCTCCAAAGACCTCTGTGTTTGCTCTTCTGTGTATCCTATTAACAGTGCACTACGTTTCAAGATGTCATACTGCAGAAAGCTACAAAAGCACTTTTAATCAACCTAAACATAATCAAGTGAATTACTTTCATTCTGGATAAATACTGCTTGGTATAATTCTGACAAAACAAAATTGGGTTTTAGTTCTACTGCTGTAAATCCAGAGTGACTGTACAAGAATTTTTTGTACTGCATTTGAAATTCTTAAATTGCATCCCTATAAAAATTCAACTGTGGCTAAACAGGATTGAACCCCATAAATGACCAGCTATCACCTGCTTGGAAAGTGGTATAAGGAAATTTTCAAAAATATATGATCTTGAGAGAAATTTTCAAGAAGCTGATAACTGGTGGAATGCCCAGATACTTTTACTATTCCACAAGAGAGTAAATAAAACTATATAACATAATATTTCAGTTTTCATTCTGGTATAAAGGAATGACTCCCAGCTGACTCCCAGCCTTGCTTTACTAAAGGCAGTCTAGTTACATAGGTGCAACCAACAACAACCTTCAACTCAGGACCTGGAGTTTTCTTAAAAAGCTGAAATTCAAAAAAGCAGGAA